GTGTTGTGAGAAAGCACGTGTAGTACATGTAAACCAGTCAAACAGAAAGCAAAAAGGGATTAAGTTACTTACAGATTGGAGAAGGAAGGATGCAGGTCTGAAACCGCGAAGGTGATGTTGAAAATGCAAGCTTCGCAGGTGCAAAAGTGGCAGCAATGGAGGTTCAAGCAAGAAAAAGAGAGAAGATGAATAGTGCAAGTGAAACGGTTTGTAGCATAAGGGTTTGTTTTGTAAAAAGGGAAGGAAAAAATGTGGGACTGTTCAAAATTCACGAGGTATGAGGGCGGCGTGACAGCTATGATGGGCCAGTAAGAGTTTGCCACGTGTCCAAGGAATATAAACCGATTCAGTAACAGCGGCTGAAAAGACATTTTGACCAGACTGATTGATAGCACGGTATGGGTTTAGCTCGGTTGGAAGGCTAAAGATTTTCTTAGCTCGGCTGGTAAACAGGTAATCCCTATCATGCTGCTCAGATGGAATTAAGGGACAATTGAGAGGGTAATTTCTGTATAAATTGGGCCGAGCTAGGTAATGGGCCATTATGTGGACCATAGTAAGGACTAAGAAAAAAGGCCTTGAAGTTAGCTCAGTCCAAAGGAGCTTTGTTGTTAGCTCGGTCGGCATGGTCAGAGCGGCAGCAGTTAGCTCTGTCGAACCAGACTGAGCTGAGGTATTGTGGGCCTTTATTCAGGGCCTTGCTGTTGAATAGCTCGGTCGGGGCACGCTATGGATAACGTGGTTTCGACAAGCAACTGAGGTACAACCGTATGAAAACTTAGCTAGCTTGGCGTTATGCATTGGAGCGCCAAACTTGGTTAGCTCGGTATTAAATGAACAACCCAGTTGGAGTGTCAAACCGAGGTGCGCGCAGTGAAAGGAAGAACCGAGCTAGTTGGAGCTCGGTCTAGTCTGCGGCTTTAGCATGGCCATGTTATCTCGGTTGTATTGACATCCAACCGTGGTAGAACCATCTCACTTGGTTTAAGCAGTGAGGGGGGTGTTGAAGGATAAGCATTATCTCTCAGGAGTGTGATTCTTAAGAGGACTCTGCATGGAGGAATAAGAGTCCTACTAGGATTGTGCTACGCGGAACCTATAAAAGCTCATAACATCACCTATGGAGAGGTAACACAACTTTGATTCTCGAATACACAGAGCTTTTGTTTATTTTGCTAACTTAGGCATCGGAGAGGTATCTGGCACACACTCGCTGGCTAGCTCACGTTTGTGTTTTCAGGGAGTAAAGCAACGACGCTTGGAGGAGCGCGGACTTGATCAACAGGATTATACGAGAAGATTATTTCTTGCTCGTACAATACATATTATATACGCTTTGAGGAAAAGTAATAACTGATTGTTAATTTGACAATTGCTGAGCATGATTAATGCTTAGGGGCCATTTACTTAATTATTACAATTTTTTTTGAAAAAGGCAATTTACTCTCTATGGTGAGTTCTTGAGATTATGTGAATTTGCCTCGAGCTTTTGCTTCTTTGTATTCTATTTGGGGTTGCAATGTGGAGAGACCTATCATTTGATATGAGGCTGCAAGAATTAATTATATTATTATTGTTATTATTATAATTGCTGTCGTTTATGGGTGAGTATGCTTTGAATTGGTTCAATTTAGAAGTAAACCAAGGATACAGTCTCATGAATTTAGAACCAAACCTAACCAATCCGAACCGGTAAGACACTGTTCGTTCGTTTGTTACCACCTTTTTAGAGACCTTGTGATATTTACAACAAGAACCTAAAAACATTTTAAATGATTATTTATAATTAGTTTTACCTATGTGAATACACTTGCAAGATTAGAGGGTTTCGAATTGTTTATATATATTTGATTATTGTAAGATATTTTCAAAGGATTGAGCCTCTAAAGGCGTTTTCCTTAGGTAATCAAATTCCCAATTTCTTCCATGTTGACATCAGTGTAATATACTCTCCCTAAATCAATGTTTGAGAATTTTGTAATTATTATGCCATTTATTTCCAGACTGCCGATTAATTTTAATGTACAAAATTTTGAGTAACTTCAAATGATATAATGTAGAGCAACAATAAGTATCAGATTGTCTCAGAATATGAACAGGGTCATTCTGCTTCTTGGGTGAAAAATAAACCTTACACGTGATCTAATGTTACTATATTTTGTCTTCTATTCAAGTTATTTTCATATTGGATGACCATCAACCAACTAGAATTTCTGTACCTTTTCATAGTTGGAAACTATAACACTACATTCATCTATGCCTGCTCTACATACAAATAACATTGTATAAAAACAGTTTTTATCTATACGCTATAGAAGCATACAACCAAACCCTTCTATTCATACTGTTAATGGGCAGGCAAATCCAACAATGCAGACTAAAAAATGTGCAATGCAAGTGCACCAACATATGCAATGCTGTCAAAACTTGAGTAACCAAAAGCATATATGCTCAACATTTTCATTATCTGCTATTGTTTATGGCCACATTTCTACCTACAACATGTGAAATTCATGATTCCAGTAGTGTACATAAGATAACGTTCATGTTTTGATTGTTGTTTCATTTGCATTATTGTATCAGGGATCAAAGCCACAATGATGCAAGATTCCAGAATCTCTCACCTCACTTCCATATTTGAGAATATTAGTGTTATATATAAACTAGCAAGATTTTATGCAAGAGAAAGGAGGCAAAAAGAAAGTCTTCCTTTGGTCACCACCACACCAAACTCAGTCTTAATGTGTTTCCTTTTGGGTGCAATCCTCATTTCAGTAAAGAAACTCCTACCAACCTTAACACTTCAAGACTTGAAACAGAGTATGAAACTTAAGCCTCCAAAATAAATCTTACCGGCCGATTCGTATCGGAAAATCGAAGGACTGATTCGGATATGGACCTGTATAGGGGTGAGAATGAAATTCGCAGCCATAACGTCCAAGTCCCAGTACGTGACGGCCTGATGCCGATACATACAGTGATACAGTTCGATACACGTTGGTTGTCGCCGATACAGATGAAAATTCGCGCAGAAAACCTGCAAGATCTAAGCTTCTTTGGGCTGTGGAGTTCACTTTGATCTTCAAGCTTCTTCAAAGAAGATTTGTCCCTGAGTTGCAAGTTATAATTTGTGCTTATGCTTATGCTCTGTTTTTGGTGAACCTGCTGCTGCTATGCTCTATTTTAGTTGTTGTGCTAAATGTTTAGGGTTTTTTTTTTCCTTCTATTTATTTGTTTATACACCTACACTACACCACTGTTTATATTAATATATATATATATATATATATATTTCTATTCAGCAGTGCAAGGGAAAAAAAATAAAAATAAATAAATATTCAAATCAAATCTATCAAAAGCTTGGATTAGTGGGAAGGTTTTTTTTTTTTATTATTATTATTTTTGTGCTATGTTTTTGTACTATTTTTTTTATTTTTTTTTATTTGTGTCTTGCTTTGGTGTAAATGCTTAAAATTTAGATTTTTTATTTTTTAAAGAGGTCTATTCTAATCATATTTTTATTTTAAATGTATTATTGTTACTAACTAAATTAGAATTATAATATTTGTCAATTGAAATCTGTTATTGTAGATAATTAAAAGTTATAATTGAGACTAAAATAAATACATATCGTTTAGTTGAAAATGAGTCAAAAGTGTTTCTACATATCAAAATTTTGATTAAAATGTGACAAATTAAGGCTAAAAGAGTCAAAAAAAATGCATAAAATTGAGTTTTACAGAGATTGCTAATGATTTTTAAAATTTCACGGCCGCGACACCCGATTCCCGATACGTACCGGCCGATACTACCGATATCGATACTCCGCAATTGATACCGTTACGTTACCCGATATCGCGATTTAGAACTACAACAGCAATTTATGCCTCCATGATAAAAGGAGAATCTGAATTTCTTTCTTTTTTTTTTTTTTTTTTTTTTTTTTTTTGTTATTATTATTATTATTTATCTCAAATCTCTATGCTTCAACAAAGAGTGAGTGCACAAGTCCCTCATTCCCTCTAGGATCTCCTAATTATACCTACAGGGTGTTATGAGGAATCATGTGCATTAAGACAAATCTCAAAACTTTCTCTACAAGTTTACTTCGGGCATCAATTTATTGTTTGATTTTTCTGTCGAAAACAAAAATATAAAACTGAATTTATTTATTTATTTATTTTTGCAGTGATGGGGGATGATGCTTGGATGGCTACGTTTATAAGCTCCTTCTTAGATTCCGTTTGTTTTCAGAGATAGAATTGAGGGGATTCATAACGATGGGATTGTTAGTGAGGAATTGTTAAATTATTTTTATATAAAATAATAAAACAAATAAAAAAATTAAACATTAATATTTTAAAAAAAATTCCCAATATATAAAAAATAAAAAAATTTCTAATCCCCTCACTATTTTTCTAATACCATCTCTATCTCCTCCTTACCAATCCCTCTTCTAAGGGGACTGCTACTACCAAGGGATTAATAGTCCCCTCCCCATCTCTCAAAACAAACACCCCATTAATAATACCAAGAGATTAGTAATTTCAATCCTCTCCCTATAACCCAAAGAAACGGGACCTTAAAGACTTGTAAACAAGGATCTTTCCTTGAGCTTCCAATGTTAGACGCCTCCTGTATTTGTGTCAGATCCATGCATGCCAGTTACATCAGGTTTTGCACCAGCAGCATCACTTTTCTTATTTTGAGTTTGTGTATGATTGCTTAAAATATGTATAGTGTTTGTTTTTTCTTCTTGTCTTTTTATTTTTATTTTTTATTAGATGGGAATTGTTTCTTTATTTGTCTGAGTGGGTAATATATGTTGGATATATCACCCCATGTTGAGGGGGGTGATAATGCACCAATTGAAGAACCCACTAGAGTGGGGGTGGCTTACCAACTCTAACCCACTAGAGAGTGGAAGGAGGTAGGTGGTGACCAATCACATCTTCCCTCAATTGTGTATAAATTGAGGTGAGGAGGAGGGATTAAATTGAGAGAGAAAACCGAGCAAACCAATAGAGAGTGAGAGATGTGAAGCGGAGAGACCGTCTTTCTCGGTGTGAGTGAGGGAGACGAGAAAGTGGCTAAGTGAGGATAGTGTGAGCTCCTCCTCTATTGTAATCTTTCTGTAATCTCTCCATTGTTATAGTGATAACTGGTTACTCTCTCGTGGACGTAGGCATTGAGGCCGAACCACGTTAAATATGGTGTCTCCTTAAGTGTGAGTGTGTTTTACTGCTTGATATGATTTCTATAAGGTCTTGGGCGAGATCCCCGATCCCATCAATAAATACCTTGTTGAAGAGGTATATTTAATAATGTCGTATTTTTTACTTATCATGTTTTTTTTTTCTTAATTGTTAGGATTTTTATCCTACAGTTTTTATTGTTTTTATCATTTTTGAAAATTCCTCTCTTGACAAAACATATTGATTATTGAGTCATTTTGATTATTGATTTACTATTTTTTGAAATATCTAACTTGAAGTAATCAATTGGAGAGTTGAACTGTTGATGATTGGGCTGAAGTAAGGGTTGAAAATCATGGCATTTGCAGATATAATGTGGCTGGTTGTCTACTGCAAAATAAGGAAAAAAGGGGGATTGATTGACTAGTCTTGATTGGCTAAAGCATGGGTCAAGATTTGATGGAAAAAAGGCTAAAATGGGGCTAAAATTGGCTGATTGTCTTGTGGTCATTGTTGCAAGGTATGGGTTGAAGATTTGAAGGAAAACAAAGCCAAAGTCTTCAAATTCAGCTGAACAATCATGTCCATCAAGCCCGAAATATTCCAATAGTGCTCGCGATTTGTAACATCGCGCCTGTGAGAAAGTCGCGATGAAATCAAGCTCTCAGTATCTTACTTTAGTTCATCTCTGTGCTCGCGAACATGACCTCGCGCCTGCAATATATAGGCATGGCGACCACGAACTGGAAGCAACTAGGCCGCGACCAGGCCACAAGGAAAACAAGCTCTTAGTACTTTTCTCTGCAACCCGCAAAGGGGTCTCGCACCCGTAACCAGCAGTCTCGCACCCGCAACCAGCAGTCTTGCACCCGCGACCAAAAGTCTCGCACCTGCAATGATCTTATGTCTATATATACCATGCTCGGTCGTGTTGTTAATTAATTCCTTGAGTCTGTAATCTTTTAGTGTCTTTACTGAGAGAGTGCTGTAGTAAGGTTAATTATATATTTCTCTAATGTTTACTTGACGATTCAACTACTCCATTTGTTCTTTCATGAAATCATCAAGTCTTAAACAAATCACCAAATAGCTCACGAGTGTTCTTGAGGAGTAAGTGTGTCGAGGATTCAACATCTCACTTGTGAAGACAGATATCCACGGAATGAAGGATAGATGAGTTACTTGTAGGTCTTGAGCAAGCATGTGTGCTTGGATTGATCGTTGTAAGAAACCTCTTGTACTACTCTTCTTTACAATAGATTGTTCTTGTGGTTGAGGGCCAGTGGTTTTTTAATCACATGTTGGTGGATTCCAACTGTGGTTCCACGTAAAAATCTTTGTGTAATGTTTTCTCTTTGTTCTTTCTATTATTGTTGAGCTTGGTTGGTTTAAAACTGTTAAATCAATCACCACAAAATCATGGAACTATAATTATTCATTAATAATTCAATTTGTTTTTTACTTTGTACGTACGTTTAAAATTTATGCAGACTTGTGAACTTTTAACAATTCTTTGTTCTATTTGTTTCAGAACCTTCTTGTGGACATAAAAGGGCCTGCATTCGCATATGGAACCTAGTTTGAGGTGTAAGTTTTACCATTTGGAATGTTTTGACTAATGCACTATGCTTTTCTATTTATTGTTGATTGTTACTCTTCATGAGCAAGGAGAAACATACGCTTCATGAACAAGGAGAAACATACGCATATAACATTTGCTTAATATGCCCGTGGAAAATAGAATTAGTCTTATTAACTCTGGCTTTTAGTGATTGGATTATCCTATTGTAGGCATCTATTGTCATAACCTTTAATTTGCTGTTTGAGTTTTTGAATCATTCTAAACTTCTAGCGATCATGTCTCATGTTTAAGTTTATGTTCACAATATACTTCATCAGTGCTTAGAATTCTATTGGCCATAGCATTTGTTTTTCTAGTTCATGGCCTAATTGTCTATTATTTTGCTTTCATCTACAAATGGACCTCTGAGATAAGCCCGCACTAGACTTCCCTTAACCTTCATATGCATCTTAATTATCTGCAACTTTTATCTGAATCTTGTCACATTAGAACCTGTATTCTCAAGCTAGTTTTTTTTTTTTTTTTTTTTTTTTTTTTTTTTTTTTTTTTTTTTTTTTTAAACTCTCAGGATTGAGGCATTACTTAGGCTATGTAATAAAACTAATTAATTCCTTCTACAATTTAGATTGTGAGGCCCAACATATTAATAACAAGGGACATGAGTAGTGTATTTACACCAAAAAAAAAAAAAGATCTTCAATTTACAAAATGGTTGTAAACAGCAAAAAAACAATCTTCTATACGTACGAACTATGTTTATTAACATGAATAGAAAGTTGATATTGTGGCTTATATAAAGGTTATTCCCTTGTATTACATGATAGTTAAATTTGATGTCGAAAGTTAAATTTTTAGATGTTTGATAATGGAATGGATACATACATTACATGATCTAGATATGGAGAAATAGATTTTTTAATGTGATTGATTTTTGTGTTTGTAGACTTAATTGACAGAAGAATGATATACGCTATAGGCATAATAAATAAATAAATAGAGTTAATGAAAAATGATAAACAAGAAAAAGCATTGCAATATCTAATTTAATATAGATGTACTACTACATTTGGACTTCTTAGCATATTGGTCCAAATTAAATCTATTGTACCAAAACCCTAGATTGAAAATACTATTTGTATACATGTGATGCCCACTAAAGTAGATGGTGAGGGGGAATCTCAACAAAAGTGGAGGTGGCCTCCAAAGAAGAGAAATTTAAAAAACAGAGAATGTGAAATTTCTCAAGGTCCTAAAAAAAAAAAAAAAAAAAAAAAAGAGGAACCTTCAGAAACTCCAAAGGTTTTTCAAGTCTCTTATATGAATTTAGTTCTCCACCCACTCACTTACGTACATTTAAATATACAAATTTCATTACTAATTTTTGTTCAGGTGATGACAGTTGAATTGCTTGTATCATGTTATTTTAACGAATTTCATTTTAAATGTCAAAACTTCAAGATAGCAAGCCACATTTACAAGCAATATTAATTTATGAGATTTGTATAAAATTTTCATTGATTAAGTTAAGGTCATGTTTATTTGGATAGAATGGATGATTATTATTTTTAAAGTTGTTAGTCTTGCCATTATTAATTCTTTTAGACGGTATATCCCGTCACATGTTTGAATCTTAACCTCTCAATAAGTATAAAATTGTTAGTTTATCTTAACAAGTTTTTCGAATCATTTTTCAACTTGTTACGTGATCTATATTGGCCACTCCTCTCACAAACAAAATAAATTTTCAGTCTTTTCTGGCCACCACCATAGTTTGATGTCTTTATAATAATAATAAAACCATATTGGTCCTTCAAATATCACATACCCAAGTAAGCAATTCATTATTTTTTGTCGAAAACTTATATATAATGTCACACAACTTTCATAAGAACAAACTAACTGTGGGGGACGAGTAAAAGTGACCGCTCAGGACCTGTTCAGAGGATGCCGGGAGATGAACACTGGCGAGGATAACTCGGCATGACTAGACCCATCTGAAGGCCGAATATAATCTATCCGAGGGCTGAGTATTCTGAAATTCTTCTGACACATCTAGGGGTCTCGGATGTGATGGCAGAAGGTGATGATGGGAAAGTGGGCCCCTGGAGTGCAGTATAAAAAGGAGGAGCTTCAGTCAAACTGAGATATGTAAAAAAAAAAAGAAGAAAAATGAGATAACTTGAAACAGAAGTAAGACTTGAGAGAATATTGACTTGGCCGACCAAAGTGTTCATTCCTTTTTCAGGTAGCAACCAGAGGATCAAGAGCGTCTACCAAGATCAAAGAGTATTTTCAAACCATTTTACCACAATTGGCGCCGTCTATGGGAATACTCAAGTGCATTCATGGTAGGCGTAACAGATGATCCTTTGCTCTTTACTGACGATGTTACACCAAAAGATGATGTTACTCCAAGAAACATGCTTGGACCGGAAAATATCACCGCATGAAGGGCCCTGAACTTCGACCCAGTAGCTCAAACCTCACCCTCAACCTCTATGCAAAAGATTATGCAGATGATCATGGATCAAGCAAAACGAAACGAACAACGTCTGGAAGATATGGCGGCCGATAACGAGTGCTTACGTAAGGGATTGGCCCTGGAGGTGGCCAAATCCTAACAGGCCGCACATCATGACCGGGGTCGATCGTTAGATAAAAAAAAGGATGATCAACGGCGTCGACATCGGAAACATGATAGTGGCAGCAATTCCGATTCGCCATCTCAGGAACCCAGAAAGAAGGGACGAGTTGATGTATCCAGCTCATCCGAGGGCAGTCCGTATGTACGACATATGTAAGGGAAAGGAAGTGATGGTTTAGATGAAGAGGACAGCACGACCCTTTTGTACAACGCATTGTAAGGGTTATGCTGCCCAGAAAGTTCAAAGCACCGACATTCACCTTGTACGACGGAAAGTCAGACCCCATGGACCACATTCGTCATTACAAACAAGTGATGACATTGCATGCCGATGATGAGGCCCTCATGTGTCGAATGTTTTCAAGTAGCCTGGGACCATTGGCCGTCAGATAGTATTATAAACTGGAGCCGACATCAATAAAAAGTTTTCATCAGCTCCAAAAATCCTTCATGGCAAGATTCATCACCAATGAGGTCCAACCAAAACAAGCTGACTCTCTCTGGGCAATGCAGATTAAACCAGAAAAGACCCTCAGTGAGTATTCAGCGCATTATTGGGAGTGTTTCAACTTGGTGGATGATGCCTACAATGATTCCATGGCCAGACGGCCTCCCAAAATAGTCGGGGTACTAATGAAGAAAGTTGAGGAGTACTGCAAGGTGGAAGACGATGCTCTCTGCGTCAAGGCCATACATAAAGTCGTTAAATTGGCACCATCTGGTTTGGTTCAACCGATAAGCGCTGTGCCACCAAGCAGCCCTGAGCCTTAGATTCGAGCTAAACTAGACAACCGGTGTGATTCGCGCCGATCAAGTGGGTAGTGTTCGCATTGTTCGAACGAACAGTATCAAGCGAATAGCAGGCGTACCAGACATTCGGATAAGAAGTATACAGAAATGGTAAAGTCGATCAGTAAGATCCTACCCAAAGTCCAGCATCTTCGGTTCTTTAAGTGGCCATCCAAGATGATGGGGCCCCCTGATACTAGAAGAAGGGATAGGTTATGCGAATATCACAAGGACCATGACCACTACACTGACAGCTGTTATGCACTGAAAAACCACCTAGAGGAGTTAGTGCAAGATGGTCGGCTGGCGTAATATATCCGAAAGAATAATTCACCGAACACGATAACTCTACGGCCGAATTCACCTCCATTTCATGTAATTCACATGATATACAGCCTACCGTCGTCAGCCCAAATACATACAATTCAGTTGCAACCTAGCCCGTCCAAGCCAATCACACCAGCCAAATAACCTCATGAAACTGGCAAGATTAGCTTCGACGACACCGACCTAGACGAGGTAACTCTCCCCCACGCTAATCCCCTCGTCGTCAAGCTACGTGTAAATAGATTCACAGTCGAGCGTGTTCTCATCGATCAGGGAAGCACCTCAGAAATAATGTATTATAAGACATTCATTAAACTCGGCTTCACTGATTCGAATCTGTTACCGGTCGATTACCTATTGTTCGACTTCAACGCTAATCTCAAGTACCCTTTGGGCAAGATCACACTACCAGTACATGCGAGTACCAGATCAGTCGACGTGGAATTTCTGGTCGTAAAACTCCCATCACCATACAATCTTATCATGGGAAGGACTTGGCTACATGCTATGCAGGCTGTACTAATTACCTACCATCATCTACTCTGCTTTCCAACTGAATATGGCATAGAGCAGATTCGGGGACTCTCAAAAATTGGCACAGGCATGCTATCTTATTGCTGCCGCAAAAAGGCCAAAGGAATTGGAAGTGAACTCGATTGAAGTACCAGATCGAGAAAGTCTCGAGGACATTGGGAA